TGGCGTCTCCATATGAGTGAAAAATTCTCGAGAGGGACGTTAAACAATATACAAACAAACAAAACATAACTAATGAAGGAGACAAAGCTAAAATCGTAGTTAAAAGCCGGGAACATAGCTAAATGTCTGTAGGAAATCCACAATTTATGCTGTAACAAATATTAAAGATGACTAAAATATGCCAACTAAATTTAGATAATGAAGAAAGTTGTATTCTCTGGTCATAATATATTTTTGGTATTTCCAGGGGTCCTAGATTTTGCACCGTGCACGATTTATTTTCTAGATTCATGAGATTGGTCACTGTAATTGTTATCTTCATTACATTTATTTACATTGTAAAAAAAAAGTTCTGCATTTAACACAGGTACATTAGACCAGTTTGGGTAGATTTTTATTTTGGTGTTGTGAGATAGTTATACGTTATCAGATATCTGCCTTTGTACCATCTCTACGTTTGAAGCCCAAATGGACAGTAATTTTTCGCTAAAACATTTACAGCTTCTTTACTGAAGCTTAGTGTAAGAGACAGTCGGACACACTACTTTCTCCTTTTAGTGAAACCTCGCTCTGTCATTTTATTTCTCATTAGTAAGACCATTCTATTCAAATGAAAGCATCAACGTTTTACTTAAAGAGACGAGATGACGATGATATTTTCTTAAACATTGTTAAAATCCAATGAATATACTTAATTCTATTTCTGTTTCCTGTGTAATGCTTTGTGTAATGTTCTGTGTAATGATCCGATACTTGTTCATCAGATCAATTATATATTGGCTTCCGCAGATGATTAATACTAGAACTTCTCAAACTCAGATGAAGTTCTTTATGACTTCTGCCAAATGAGCAATTAATTATAGTAAACCTTATTAATAGATTCCCAAAAGACTTCTGTCAAATAACTTTTTGGTCATTTAAGGTTGCAATCGGAAAAAATGCAATAAAAACATGAGTGGAATAATTCAAAAAGATCTTAGAATATCAAGACCCCATAAAAGAAACATAAGTTTTTTACAGTCCAAAACACAAATTATTGTTGTGTTTAATAATTCTAATTAAGTTCTTCACAATAGAAATGCTTCCTCCTACTGAATGTTTGCGGTGATTCAGATTGAAATTTCTTTTACTTCATATAAATCCCAAAAGTATAATCAATTAGGGCATGGTATCAAATAGGGCATGGTATCAGTAAGGGCATGGTATCAATTAGGGCAGTATTAATGTTCATGGTGAGTTAATTTTGAGTTCAGTGTATAGAATCTTCCACAATGAATTTTATTATCCTTTTTTTCAGTATGATTAAGTTTCATGAACCCTCTGCTCAATCATATAAAATCTTGCTTTAACTTTTATGATTTTCCGAAAGTAATGAATTTTACAAGTAAAATACAAACAATACCATAAATTGCGGGGCAAAATTGGACAAAAAAAGACATTTCAACTTGACAAAGGAATAATAGATATTTATGTCATTAAGAGTTATCTCTCTTATCTGAGTATCATTGAACCTTAAATACAGTGTAACTAGCATTAGGTACCGGGTATTCATCAAAGTATGTTATTACTGAAGTGAAAACAGAAAAATTGTGAATCAGGAATCAGAAGAAAAGAGCATAGCTCATCCTCAAATCATTTTTGTAGTTTACACTAGGTACAGAGCTTGTTTATTGATAGTTGGAGGTACCCTTAAAACCTGTACTTATATTGTAATATATGTGTATATTCAGTGTTATTTTAAATGGCTAAGAGGAGTGCTCAAAATCCATCTAGGGATCAGCCGACCGAAATTTACCCAACCGAAGATGTCAGTCGCAAATAATTTGCGGATCCGTAAAAGAAAAAAGTACATACATGCGCCAATGAATAAAATCTTGAAAATAACATTAAAATATACGCACAATTAATTCTGTTACAAAACACTGTTACTGTGTTTATTCTTACAAAAGAAAAAAAGTGGGGTCGTAGTATATTTATAACTGCTGCGGATGCATTTCAAACAATAAAAACAGACGCTTTTATTGAAAATGTTGCCAAAAAATACTAAAACATTATTGCTCAGATCTTAATAACTAGAATAATATTGAATCCTTCCAGGTTCTTCAACTGACTAAAAAGATATACGTTAATTTTTTAACAAAATGAACAAACGCCAATGTTTCTTAATTTCCGAAGGTGTTTGGCGAATTCGTACTATTGCATAAGGTCCCACAATTATAATTTTGATATTTTGTTAACAATGTGTAATTTATATTTATTTTAAAAGAACTTATGAAATTGTTTTTACATGCTCAATGTCACTGAAGCCTTTTAAGCTTTTGATTCTTCTTTTAAATTGATATATAAATAAGCAGAGGAAGATCAAGTTATAGGCATGCGCAATCGGTGATATATAATTTTCTTAGAGAACATGTGACTATTGCTCACTAAATTGTAAAATAAAAGATATTGCATACAACAAATATGGGGAAAATATATTTCAACCAAATTTTCTTTGATTAAATCCACTGAGATTTATAACCAATGATGCAGTTATGGTATAAAAACATGTTCAACTATAAAATTTCCGTCATATAACCATAAACAGGATATGTAAAAAGTGAGTTCCTCTAACTATTTAATATAAGAATCCTATAGGAAACATTTCTACCTTCACAATTGCAATAAAACTCGATACATGTAATGTTCCTTTTATTTCATAAAATCCTTACAAACAAAGATACATAGCGGATTCCAGTAAATGTTCAACCAAGCCTCTTTCTTTACTCCTTACTAAGATATTAACAGTAATGAAGGAGAAACTTCAAGAGTACTGTGTAACAATATATTCGAGAAGTGGTGTAAATCAGATCTGGATACTTAAACGTTCCAAGGAACTTTTGGAAAATTTGAAATCACAAGATTTTACCAAAAACTTACGATTTTTCAACTTTATACACAACCATTCCCCACGATAAATTAAGTCCAGGCTTTTAGATATCATTGACAGCTGCTTTTTCAATAAAAATGGAACTCGTAAATTTACTTACCTTGTCATTGGCCATTTGCAAAATTATTTTGTTAAAAAACATTCTAATTGTACACACAAGTACTCTGAAGTTGACATTAAAAAGATGCTTGAGTTTCTGATTGACAATATCTATGTGGTTTTTGGAGACCAGGTCTTCAACAATCTATTCGAAATTCCATGGGTACCAACTGCGCCCCGTTATTAGCAGACCTATTTTTGTATTCATATGAAGCAGAATTTGTCTAAAATCTTATTCGTGAAAAGAAGAAACCACTTGTGGCCTTCAACTCGACATTTAGATATATCGGCGACGTATTGTCAATTAACAATGGTTATTTCCATTCTTATGTCGATACGATATATCCCAGTGAGCTTGAGATAAAAGGTACTGAGTCTGACACATCTGTTTCATTTTTGGATGTTTTACTTGAAAAAGACGTTAATGGTAATCTAACAACCAAGCTTTATGATAAACGTGATGACTTTAACTTTTCAAATCGTCAACTTCCCTTACTTATGCAGCAATATACCTTCATCACCTGCATACTGGGTTTATGTCTCTCAGTTGATTCGATACGCAATAGCATGCTCTACGTATGTACAATTTCTAAAACGAGGTAAATTATTGACAAACAAGTTGATGAAAGAATATCAGCAGTCTCGTTTAAAGTCATCATTTCGTAAGTTCTATGGTCGATACAATGACCTTATCAGCAAATACAATTTATCATTGAGTCAAATGCTGACCGACGTTTTTCATACTTATTTTTAGGCCATTATTTACACACTGAATTTTCGACGGATTTTCCGTTATTTCCCGATCATGACAAGGAGCACACGGCGGGTGTGACCGGTCGGCAGGAGATGCTCACTCCTCCATGGCACCTGATCCCACCTCTGATGTCTTAGAGGTCCGTGTTTGCTCTGCTCCTACTTTGTATTGTTTAATGGACTTTTGTGCTCGAGTACTGTTCGTTTTCTCCATATATTTCATTTCTTTTTAAGATAAGATGTATCTAAGTAGCTGCGTCTCCAAATGAGTGAAAAATTCTCGAGAGGGACGTTAAAGAATATACAAACCAACCAAACCATCAAAAGAGCAATTATTATATTTCGCTAGAGAAAAATACTACATGAAATATTATTGTATACAGACCTCTTTACCAAAGTGATGCTGACTCCAAAAATTGCAAAATAAACCTTAAGATCAGAAAGGAAAAATGCGGTTTGAGATGTCGGTAGGTTAGCTATATATTAAAGCAAAACAATGTGTGAGCATATGAGGATAAACTGTTAACAGATAAAAACACCCATTTAGGAACAAAATGTAACACCTGTTTTACGTAAATATGTACGAAACGTTATCATATATGGACATTAGAGACTTTTTGATAATAGATATTCAAGAAATCTTCGTTTACCAACATGCTCGTGTAATGCATGTCTTTTAAAGTATACAACTCATAATAATTTTCGAGACAAAGTAAATTTTTTGTGTAACTTTATAACCATATTTTAATTTTACTTTTATCACGTCGACAATATGCTAAAGTACGGATCATAGCAAAAAGAAAAAAAGATAATAGTAATAAGTTATTTTAAGTGCATATTCTTCTTATGTGAGTAATATTCTATGCATTGAATATAAAGGCCCAACATGAAATTATCAATTGGCATTGTTATAAATAATTACAGCCGTTCATGATTAAATGGTATATTCCATTTCAATAATTATATAAATTAATAAAAATATGTTTGATAACCAAATTTCTACCATTTTTATAACCTCTAGGAAATCAATTTTCAGCTATTTCCAAGTCCTACGATACAATTTGTATAATCCCACTAATAAATAAATTCATAATGGTTAAATAATGCCTGCAACCAAAGTTTTATTTATTTTAGGGCTGATAACACTTTGCTGGAGAAATTGACGTTAACGTACAGAATTTCGTTTTAATCAATATCATCATGTTGCTTTATTTTTCAGATTGTGAAAGACCTGAAGTGACGAACCATGACTTTACGCACGCGCAGCAAGGATGTCACGTGACTTACTGTTCTTTGCTTTTCATGTTCTTTTACATCTATCTCTGCTTGAGATCAAAGGTATGGTCAAAAGTATCAATTCTGTACTCACTAATAGTGGCTTTTAAACCCTTCTCTTACTAACTGCAGCATATTTATTTATCGACCTGTCTGCCAATTGGTAGAAGAGAGAGTCTTATTATATTATTTACAATAAGAAATCATATGTTTTGAAATGAGGACTTCATTATATATTTATCTGACCAAGATGTAGATCTACAGAAATTTAACTGTGCTTGTTTCAAATGATTCGGTCGTCGGTAAAGGAATTGGTCGCAAGTGGGCATTACTGTAGTACAAGGCTAAAATAAACATTATTATTATTTTTTATGCACAAGATGAGCTACATTTTTGGAGTTTAATTAATATATAATAAATCTTTAAAAAGTAAAGCTGGCAAAGCCATTGCATTTTTTAAAGACATGTTGAGGTGATTGGTTACAAAAATTATAGTTTTGCTTAAAGAAACTACGTATTCGATATAGATATTGGTACACATGTCTTTCAGTTGAGATTGTAGCCCTCAATGTCTCCAAAACAGACGAACAGAAGCTGCTGGATGCATTGATGACCGGATATAGCAAAGATACAAGACCCGTATATAATGCGTCACATCCGGTCAAAGTCTCTGTGGGAATTACCCTTACCCAAATTTTTGACGTGGTAAGGTTAACATTTTGAGTGTAAAGTATATTTCAAGATCAGATTAAAATAATTTGAAAATAACCATGCAATATATTATCGTAGTTTAGGGAAATTATAACATTTACTCTAAAATGAACTTATGTGTGTAGAACAAAATTTTATCATTTTTATTGTATTCAGAGAGTAAACATTTATGTTAATGTTAATACAAGTATTTTTATGATAATGGTGAGCCATGCATAATAAAAAGAAAAATAAATGGTCCTCATCAAGGTTTAAAAATTCTGTGATATATTTCAGGATGAAAAGAATCAAGTGTTGACCACCAATGTTTGGCTTGATCAGGTAGGTCAATCCGGACGCCTATTTTGTTTTTTACAAGGATCAAATCAATACGCCTACTTCATTATGTAGGTCAAGTCCAGATGCCCTTCTGTATCAGGTAGGTTACTCCAGACCCCTACTTTTTCAGATGCCGGCTGTATCAAGTAAGTCAATCTAGACGTTTACTTTATCACGTAGATTAGGTCCAGATGCCCACTGTATCACGTACGTTCATTTCAAATACACAGTGTATCAGATGGCATCATACATTGTACAAACACTGATACCTCTTTGACACGACGTCTCTTACGAGACTGTATCTCTAGTGGTTTGTTATTATATTAAGAAAGGGAAAAGCAGCATCTGGACTTAAAACTTACCAGCAATAACAACATCAACAAATAAGAATTATGATCCTTTTAAATGTTTTAAATGTCTTCCAATATTATCCTGTTATTGTAAACATTGAAACAGTGTTCATCTAATGAAATATTGTGATAACGAACAGTATTTAAGCTCATAAGTCCATTCAAACAATACAAATCAGGAACAGAGCAAATACGGACCTCTAGAACATCAGAGGTGGGGTCAGGTGCCATGGAGGAGTGAGCATCTCATGCCGACCGGTCACATCCGCCGTGTGCTGCTTGTCATGATCGCAAAAAAGGGGGAAACCGTAGACAAATCAGTGTGTAAATAATGACCTAACAATAGTATTAAAAACATCAGTCAGCATTTGACATAATGATACATTGTGTTTGCTGACAAGGTCATTGTATCGAACTTGAGAAATGATTACTTTAAACAAACGAGACTGTTCTTGTTTCATCAACTTGTTTCTCAATACCTTGTCTTGTTTTAGAAATTGTCCGTAAGTAGAGCATGCTCTTGCGTATTGAATCAACTGAGAGACATAAACCCTATATGCAGATGATAAGGGTATATTGCTACATTAGTAAGGGAGGTTGACGATTGAAAAGTTGAGGTCATCACGTTTATCATAAAGTTTGTTGTTAGGTTACCATTAACGTCATCTTCTAGTAAAATATCCAAATATGAAACATAAGTGTCAGACTTTGTGGTATCTTTTATTTCAAACTGGAATATATCGAGTCGACATATGAATGGACGTAACTACGGTATTATTAACTGATAATACGTCGTCGATATATCTAAATGTCGAGTTGAAGGCCACAGAAAGCGTTTTCTTCTTCTCATGTATAAGATATTAAATAAATTCTGCTTCATATGAATACAAAAATAGGTCTGCTTATAAATCAAAACCCAATGAACAGAACTTTATATTATTCATAATAGAGTAGTCTTCTTGTGTACTAAGTCATACATTGAAATCAGATCAAAACTGCAGGAGTAGAAGTGTTTCAAAAGAATTTTACAAAAATTCTTTTTCTAATATATTCAATGAAATCAACAAGAGGCCCAAGGGCCTTTAAAGTCACCTGAGTATAAAACAACAATCCATAGGAGATCCATAGAGTATAAAATAAACTGATAGAAGGAGCTTTTGTAAATCTTTGATCGTCCATTGTGGCCCCACCCTATCCCCAGAGTCATGATTTGAACAAACTTGAATATATACTACCTGAGGATGTTTCCATGTAAATATAACCAATCATGGCTTTGCTGTTCTAGTGGTTCTGGAGAAGAAAATTTTTAAAGATTTTTTTCTATGTATTTCTATGTAAAACTTGAATCATACCAAAATGACTAATCATGGCTTTGCAGTTCTTGAGAAGAAATTTTCCTATATATTCCTATGTAAGACTTTGATCGTCTATTGTGGCCCCACCCTACCCCCGAGGGTCATGATTTGAACAAACTTGAATCTACACTACCTGAGGATGCTTCCATATAAATATGACCAATCAGGGCTTAGCTGTTCCTGAGAAGAAGATTTTTAAAGATTTTTCCTATATATTTCTATTTAAACTTTGATCATCCATTGTGGCCCCGCCCTACCCCCGGAGGTCATTATTTGAACAAACTGGAATCTACACTACCTGAGGATTCTTCCATATAGATATGACCAATCAGGGCTTAGCTGTTCCTGGGAAGAAGATTTTTAAAGATTTTTCCTATATATCTCTATGTAAAACTTTGATCGTCTATTGTGGCCCCGCCCTACCCCCGGGAGTCATGATTTGAACAAACTTGAATCTACACTACCTGAAGATGCTTCCATATAAATATGACTCATCACAACTTTGCTGTTCTTGAGAGGAAGATTTTTCAAGATTTTTCCTATATATCTCTATGTAAAACTTTGATCGTCCATTGTAGCCCCACCCTAGCCCTGGGGGTCATGATTTTAACAGATTTGAGTCTACACTACCTGTTGATGTTTCCATATAAGTTTCATCTTACCTGGTTCAGTGGTTCTTGAGAAGAAAATTTTTAAAAGATATCATTAATTTTTCACTAATTCTTAAATATTTCCCCTTGGAAGGAGGCGTTGCCCTTCATTTGAACAAACTTGAATCATCTTTACCCAAGGATAGTTTGTGGCAAGTTTGGTGGAAATTGACCCAGTGGTTCTTGAGAAGAAGTCGAAAATGTGAGAAGTTTACGCACGACGCACACCCGCACGACGACGGACGAAAACAGATAGCAATAGGTCACCTGAGTGACTCAGGTGACCTAAAAACCGATACACAGAATTATGTATCTTAATTACAGTCTACATGGTCTACTTTAGTACCAATGAAATATGGAGACAAAAAACAGTATTCAAGCTAAAATCCATTAAAAAAATACAGATCGGGAGCAGAGTAAACACGGACCTCCGAAAACAGAGGTAGGATCAGGTGTCATGGAGAAGTGAGCATCCCCTGCCGAACGGTCACACCTGCCGTGTGCTCCTTGTTATGATCGGTAAATAACGGGAAAATCCGTCGGCAATTCAGTGTGTAAATAATGGCCTAACAATTAGTAATTAAGTCTTATTCAAATCTCTTCTGGTCTCTGACCAATAGAGCTTAAAATCTGGCGACTTGATTTTAAAGAACAGCAACCTGTGAATCATTGAATTACCGAGAAATAACATTTTCATTTAGTTATAAAATTGGGAGGTAAAGTTTGTGTTTAGAAATGAAAACATCGACTAGAGAATTTTGTGCTTTTTCATTATTTACATTTGTACGAGGCAATTTAAAAACTGATTACGTGAAGTTTTGAAACAAAAAATTTTTTTTCCAAAAGGAGGTCAAGCACCAAGGTCAAGTTAAAATATCAAAATTTTTAATACGAAAGGAAATGTCTTGTCACAAGAAATACACTTGTGAAATATAAGAGCCCGAGGATCAACTTGTCAAAAGTTACGGGCAAGGTTAAAATCTGTTAAAATTTTGCATAAGTGGGCCAAATTCTAAGGCCAAATATGTTGGTATCCAAAAAGAGGTCTTGCCATAAAGAATACACCTGTGAAATATGAAAGCACTTGCTCCAATTAATCAAAAGTTACGACAGGTTAAAGTTTTGCGGACAAACAGACAGACGGACGGACAGACCAAGAACTATATGCCCCCGAATCTTCGATTACGGGGACATAAAGAGCAGTATGGTTGGAACAAAAATGAAAAGCCAAACATAATCTTGGCAGTCACACACTTTTTGTAAAATTGAATTTTATTTTGATCAATCTCAGTACATTTTTTGGTTAATTGGGATGTTTGATATATTTTTGACAAACGCCGACAACAAGAAAGGTAAGAGGGTTAATAAACTTCTCACAAACCGGGAACGGGCTTTTATATATAGAAATAGTGCAAGAACGGCTTTTTCATTTATACTCCCAATTCAGATAGATGAGAAACTTCACTTATAGGAATATTAATTACAGGATGCATCTGAAATTAATCCTGAAAATTAATATGTCTAAAGGTTTTAATGTCCTGTGTAGATAGTGTCAATTTCGATTGAAATTGGTATAATTGTTGTATTATATGTAGAGATCTGTCTATTGATAGCTGTTTTTTCTCGGTAAATGAACTACATAAGAAGCTTATAAATAAGAGTGCAGAAATTAAAGATATTTGAAAGTATATTTCTTTTGATTTATTTAAGGAATGGAAAGACGAGAAGTTGGTCTGGGATCCCAAAGACTACAATGGGCTGGAGATGATGAGAATCCCATGCCGGAAAATATGGCTTCCGGATATTGTTCTGTACAATAGGTACATTACAATTAATAAATCTCCTTTTCCTTTGATTTATTTGTATTGAAAAAATGATTCAACAACATTTGTTAATGTTAGAATATGCGCTAAATGATTAGAGTTTGCCCATTAGCTCAATTTCTTACTGATCAATTAAGAATCCTTATAATTACTAGAAATAATTTATTTTTGTTACTTGGATTTGAAGCAGAAAATGTTACATATATTACCCTAGGCGATTCTTTCTTGTCAGTTCCAATTAACGAACGACAGATTTATTGAATTTTTCTCAATGCACATGTCGACATTGAAACAAAAACCTACAAACCTCGTTTGAATATAACGTGTGATAATTTGATGACAATATGTATGAGGTCACTTTCTGATGAAGCTGGAGAATGATGAAGAAATCCATCGATCGTGAGAAAATCCATTTGTTCTACTGAATCTATTGCTCTGAATTTTACAAAATATATATGTAGAGCCTAAGGATATTTTTTTTTTATTTTGCTGTATAGCATCGTTAAATGTTCAATCAATCCTTCTTCTGAGCTAACACATTCATATTCTAGAATTCTTAAGACTGTAATTAAGACAACGGGCGCACCTGAATTATCCAGTAATAAAAATACTCATCATCACTCAATTTTTATTGAAAATCGAACGTGACATGAAAATACCCAGTCGTAATTAAAGGGCTAAAATGATATTTTAAAATCTCTCCTCTATTATATGAAAGATTAAAAAAAATATTCTTACGTTTTCAGCGCTAGTGACCATAACGAGAAGTATATGGAGGCCTTGGCAATGGTCGGTAACGATGGCACAGTCTTCTGGCCACCAATAGTGAAGTTTAGAAGCTCCTGTCTGATGGATATGACCTACTTTCCGTTTGACGACCAAATTTGTAGGCTAAAACTGGGATCCTGGGCCTACACTGGCTTTCAAGTGGACGTCCTCAATCGGTCAAACACCATTGACATGTCTAGATTTGTAGAGAACGGCGAATGGGAGATAATAAACACTGAGGCAATTCGGAATAATGTATACTACACGTGCTGCCCGGAACCATTTCCGGATGTGACGATCACGTTACACTTACGTAGAAGGACTATTTACTTCATGTATAACGTCATCATCCCTTCCATCATGTTGTCTAGCCTAGCCCTTCTTGGGTTCTGGGTTAATCCTGACTCTGGGGAAAAGGTAACCCTCGGTCTTACGGTGCTGCTTGCTCTCTCTGTCTTCATGCTGTTAATTGCTGAAAACACTCCCGCCACGTCCTTCTTTATACCACTTTTAGGTATGTATCTCTCTTTTATTCTTTATTGTTCAGTCTAAAATCATGTATTTCAATGTTTGACTTCTTAACTGTTTGACTCATGATCAGCCTCTACTTGTCTGCTTCCTTCCAAAATGTCAATGCTACAACTCTGCCTCATAAGACATCAAAGTAAACAAGGTTTAAATGTAATTAAAAGGCAACAATTACAATGAAATATATATTTCTTTCAGGCATATATCTCATAACTACGATGTCCTTCACCTCTCTGTCTGTTATCTGTGCAGTGGGCGTGACAAACCTTCACCTCCGAGGTCACGCATACCCTGTTCCGAATTGGTTGCGTAAGCTCCTATTTTTAATTTCGAATATTTTGTGTATAAGGCTTCATCATATAAGGAACGGATTGTCACTTAATAATTCACCATACTGGGACAGAATCCCGGCGTCTTCCACTTTTGGAAATCACTCCACTTCGAACGGTCGAATTGTGCACGATCTGGGTGAGGGGACGGTCATTCATCATGACGAAGTACACAAAGAAGGGGCGGCCCCTAGCGAGAGATTACTAAGGGAAGATAACTCTGATTCGAATCACGCATTACTAGAAACTATAAAGTGCCTTATTAACAAACAAGAAGAGGGTGAACGAGAGAAAAAGATTCATGACGAATGGAAGGAAGTGGCATTGATAATTGACCGTTCTCTGTTCGTTATTTTTCTGCTGGGGATGATTGTAGCATCTGTGTACATTCTTGTTGTCTTGCCATTAAGAAAGTTAGGGACGGTTTAAGTCACCCTGACATGTGCTCTTTTGCCAACAGTTTGGAAATATTAACGAACGGTTAACTTCATGCTATATTGTATAAATGATATTTTTATTAATAATGTTGTTAACACTCTTGTGTTTGACACAATAAAGCCGCACAATTAATAGGTTATAAGTATTTGATTGTGTCTTTCATTTCAAACCACAGTGACTAATTCCTTGGTTCAGCACAACATTAATGGAAGTTTTAGTAACGTATTTCAAAGTTTGCGAAATAAAATCATCAAAGTGGACTATTGAAATTAGTATTAACAGCCCGAAACTCTTGTTGACACGGAAATAATTGATTTCTTGACAATTAAAATGTAAATCTACTAATCAAAGACTTAAAATTTAGGCATATGTATATTTATTGAAACTGGATTTTTCAAATGACAATTGCAAAAGTCTTCTATCTTTGTCACATGAACATGTAAATGTTACATGAACTTATAAATGTTACATGAACTTGTAAATGTTACATGAACTTGTAAAAGTTACATGAATTCTCCTCAGAATGTTCCTAAGCAGTCAGTCCGAATTTGTACACAGTTGTATGGCGATAGGTCTCTCCTGGACGAAGGATCGTGTTTGGAAAATTTGGCTGGTAAAAAAAGAAGACATCATTGTGAGGAAATTTGAATTCATGCATGTCAAGTGCTTGTCCTTATTCAACGTCTTGGCACAAATCATTATTACCTGGACAATATTGCAAAGGATCGCTTTCATAAGATAAGAAACAATTAATTATACTACAGCTGGACGATCCTTGTCTTCACAGAGTCTAAGATATGCAACTAATTTTAACAATTTGAAAATTAACAGCTCAAAAATTTCAGAAGAACCTTTATAGGTCACAATGACCTGCTTTTGGGCTGTTAGGTCACTATGACCTACTGCTGGGCTGATATATACCAATTAGCAGGTAAAGGAAAGACTGCAATGTCTTTCATGACTTGCCTGGTTTACACTGTTAGCGTAATGTTGTGTCTCTAAACAAACGGAAGCAAACTTCTGGTACTCGACGCCACCCTTCCCGAAAACCCCCGTGGCCATATTACATCCGGTGTAGCACTGTATTCCTGGCTCTGTCGTAAATACTTCCATTTTACGCCCGGAAGGTGGATGTTCTAGACTGAATAAGTGATGCAACTTCAAATTTGTTCTCTCGTAAAAAGTATTTGAAACATTATGATTAAGAATTCAATAAATAAGTCAGCCATTTATGTCAATACATATAGCTTGTAAAACAATGCGAAAAGCAAAGCAAATGTAGACTACTGTAATCCTCTTTTTGTTTCGAACATATTCTATTGAACAAAAGGATTGGAAGTATGTTCTCACAATTTATACTGGGTCCCCTCCTAAAACATTGCAATATGTCATGCGAATGAAATAAGAAGATAACGAACAGTATTCAATCTCGAAAGTCCAATGAAACGCTACAAATTTGGAGCAGAGCAAACACGGACCTCAAAATTTAGAGGTGGGTCAGGTGCCAAGGAGGAGTGAGCATCCCCTGCCGACAGGTCACACCTGATAGGTTGTATGTGCTGACAAGGTCATTGTATCGACCGTAAAATTTGCGAAATGATGACTTCAAACGAGACTGTTGATATCCTTGTTTTATCAACTTGTTTGTCGATAGCTTGCCTCGGTGTAGAAATTGTTCATACGTAGAGCATGCTCCTGCGTATCGAATCAACTGAGAGACATAAACCCCATATGCAGGTGATAAGGGTATATTGCTACATAAGTAAGGGAAGTTAACGATTGAAAAGTTGAAGTCATCACGTTTATCATAAAGCTTTGTTGTTAGGTTACCATTAACGTCTTTTTCTAGTGAAATATCTAAATATGAAACAGATGTGTCAAACTCTGTGGTGTCTTTTATTTCAAGCTCACTGGGATATATCAGTCGACATATGAATGGAAGTAACTATTGTTTATTGATAATACGTCGTTGATATATCGAAATGTCGAGTTGAAGGCCACAGCAAGTGGTTTTTTTTTTCTCATGTAGAAGATTTTGAATAAATTCTGCTTCATATCAATACAAAAATAGGTCTACTTATAACGGGGCGCAATTGAAACCCATGGAAATTCCAACATATTGTTGGAAGACCTGATCTCCAAAAACTACATAGATATTGTCAATCAGAAACTCAAGCATCATTTTAATATTAACTTCAGAGTACTTGTGTGTACAATCAGAATGATTTTTAACAAAATAATTTTGCAAATGACCAAATGACAAGGTAAGAATATTTACGATATCTATTTTTATTGAAAAAGCAGCTGTCTATGACATCAAAAAGTCTGGATTTCAATTTATCGTGGGGAATGGTTGTATAAAGTGTTGAAAAGTCGTACCTTTTGATGATATTGATTTTAGTAAAATTTTGTGAGTTTTTAAGTATCCACATCTGATTTACACCACTTCTAGAATATACTGTTGTAGAGTACCCCTGAAGTTTCTCCTTCATTACAGTAAATATTTTAGTGAGGAGTAAAGAAAGAGGCTTGGTAGAACATTTACTGGAACCCGCTATGTAAAAGTATGGTAATCATTTTGATTGTTGGGAATATTAAAAATACCTAAAACGGACATATGATTTTGCAGACTTTGCTCCTTAGAAAGAGAGCTATGGGTGTAAATTGGATTTCCACCTGCAATTCTAAGAAATAATTCTTATAAATGTGAATTTTTACAAGTAATACAACTGAAATTCTGTAATCATCTTTCCATACTCAATTTGCTTATTCACCAAAATAATCCTTAAAATATCAATAAATGAGTTCGAAGTATTGAATAAATATTTTTTTTTTTAAAGCATTAATTGACAATAGAATACATTTAACACGAAGATAAACATGAATTTACCTAGCAACTCGAGTGAGTTTCCCTAGCTGCCCTCCGACACAGAAGTTAATGTCATATCCTTTCCCGTTGTTTACGTATTTAAGGCGATCGCCTAAGCGTGTAGGCGTCCTCAGGTCATAGGCTGTTCCTTCCACAGATGTAATGACGCCTGAATTGCAACAAAAATTTCCTCGAATACCAGTACATTGTCGTGATTGTGTATTTGAGACAAAGCAATCACCAAAACAACAAACAAAAATCAACACGCTATATAAGTTATGTTGTCTTCATGGTCTTATGATCTTGCATCAAAATATGTAAAAACACAAAGGCTAGGGAAAAAAGGATTTCGTTTTACCAGATTAAAAAGTCCTGGTAAACTAAATAATTACAGAAAAAAAATATTGTATTAATTTGATCTTGGGACTGAATTCCGATTCGAATTGAAATCACATTTAAATCAACTTATAAAAATAAATTTAGATCTAGAGAAAAATTGTGATCTTAGACTTTTTTTATTTTATTAGATTTTTTATCTATTTTATGGGAACAATTCGTATTGCATATTGCGAATCAAATTTCCTCTTAAAAATCTAATTGAATTTTTGCAAAAATTAGCAGTTTCAGTATTTTTTCCTTCATTATTTTATCAGATCAGAATTTAAGAACGTAGAAATACGTTGCATCAAGGCGCTCTTGTTTCGATCGAAACAAATTTTGGGGGTCATAAACTTTCATATGCCCTCATTTTGCAAAAATAGAGAACGGCTTGAAGATTTGTACTTTGTTCAATACATCGGAAATCAGAAAAGAAAAGTTAATTTGATCTCATTTTTAACTAGTCAGGATGAAAAAGAAAATACCAAAGTAGGGAATATGGAATGAATTAATAAATGGTAAACATACCATCGCGAGTCTAAATTGTCAACTTTAATTAAGACTACATTGCAACATCAAATAAAGGACTGCGAAATTGTAAATCTACATACCATGTAATATAAGCCCTTATAACATTATCTTATTACTATTTTATTATAGATTAGTTGATTGTTGAAAATATCGCACAGAATAAACTGTATGGAGAATTCTTGACATATTTACATGCACAAGAGTAGAAAATGTTTATGAATAACAACTTAACAGCAATGATTATCCTCTCCACGGGGGGCACCTGTCACACGTGGTTTTGGATGAACTGCCTATAAATCCCATCTTGTTAAGCAAATGATAGATTTAGGAAAACTACTGCTTAATCCAACCATCAAAATGACTGATATAAGATAGCCCAGAAAAGCAAACAAAGGCATCTGGTAAACTTATAAATCACTGAAAAAAGCGGCAGATTTGATAAGAAATATACTTGATATATACGAAGAACGATCACGGATTATCTACAAGGCACCCACGTTTATTGAATCACTCATTAATAACTGAAAGAAACTATAAATTGTAATGGAGACTGACGTATTGGGATTAGATACCGACAGGTAGAAAATCATTAGGTTTAATTGGGGTCATCACCTGTTGGAATAATGTTCTGATCCAAAGGAGTGTACGTGTAGGCATCAATCCAAAGCACGTGGTCATCTATGTTTGGATAACCCTTCAATAAAAAGACAAATGTTTTCAGCTGGTTTAGATTATTTAACGTATTTGTTGTATAAATAATTTTGCGTGTCACTTTTTATAGATTTCTACAGTATTAACTTTTCACACACCTGCCCAGCTAGATTAAAGTAGGCGTGGTTTGTAAGGTTAATGGGCGTGGCTTTTGTTGTGGTTGCCGTGTAATCAATGACAAGTTCGTTCTCATTGGTCAGACGGTATCTAACCTCTACGGTTAACTCCCCCGGATAGTGTTCCTCGCCATCAGGACTTACGTACGTCAGTACAAGCGTGTCGTCGTCCACTCTTGCTTTCCATACCATCTTGTCAAGAAAAGAAGACAACTGTCTCTAGACACAGTTTGGAATTTAAACTGTCGGTACATAATTTTAAAAACAGCATCTATTATATGGTCGAAGAAATATAGAAGGTACTAGTGTATGTTTTTCTCTCTGTGTGTGTCCATCTGTTGCAATACTCAAGTTTTCGCAATGAAATTTTATATACTCTCTATGACTTTCAGAAGGACCCCAATTGATTTTGGAGCCAAAAGGTGAGAAGTATTGCTTACAAATCCATATATGCTGTAAAATGGTACACTTTACGGATGATATCTCTGAACGTACTTTAGGTTTTGTAATGAAATTTCATAACTTCCTATTATTTAAAGAAGATCCCTATTTATTCTTATGTCAAAGGCTGAGGTCACAACATTATATATTATATAAAATGATTTTCAGATGTTAAGTTTGGTTCTCTATGAGGTTTTGAAATGAAACTACGGTGAACACTCTTTTTAACCTATCTAAGACCCCTGTTAATTTTGAGGTCAAAAGGTCAATGTCGCATAGATGTTATAAAATGGTACATTTTAGTTTTTAGGTGATATCTCTGGAAGTAATTTGGATATCGCCATGAAAATCATATCAAAACTCCTTATGCCTTATAGATGACACCTACTGATTTTGAGGTCGAAAGATTAAAGTCAAGATCACTTGTAAATTCATATATTGCTTAAAAAGTTTTCTAAAGCCACTTTAACTCTGTCTATAATGAAAACATTACCCCTTTTGATTCTGAAATAAAAAGGTCATAGGTCAAGGTCACAAACTTATATAGATTGTTTCTGGTTTCAATTTTGAATAAACCTCTGTCCTTAAGCGGGGAACAGAAATTCATTGAATTAGCTTGTACTTCTTAATTTGTATAGAGAACCTGAACTTTCTGATACCTCTCCTACCCCCCATAAATGATGCTCTCCTATGCTTGTCAGAGAGAAATCAAAGGTGAACTTGCCATCAGAGCTACCTTATCAAACCCCTTCACACCACCATGTAGGTGGTTAGGACCGTTGTTAACCGCCAATTGATACTCTTTCCCATCAAGGGTAAATTTTCCTCCAGCGATTCTGTTTGCCACTCTTCCACATATAGCTCCAAAATAAGGATGACGTGCTTCATACCCTGTGCATAAATGTCAAATCATCAATTATTTTGATTGTAATTTTCTTCCATTTCCTTTATTATATACTCATTAGATATTATAAATTTTACCTTTGATGTCATCAAATCCCAAGTTTATATCTACCACCTTTCCGTTTTTATCAGGAACTAAGATATCCGTTACAATTCCACCATAATTAATTATCCGGACGGTTATGTTATTTTTGTTCTTAAATGTAAACCTAAAAAATATTTGTGTTATAAAGTATTACCTGTAAGATTCTTTTTGATTAAATGTTTGATAACAGTGATTTGATAAGTATTTTCTAATTGTTAATTTCAACTGGATGCTGAGATTTATTTAACATTTAAACGGGCCACCATATCACACGACCCAAAGCCCTCTCTGTCCACTTTATTTTTCGTCTGCATCCTTTGCACAAAGTGACATTGTTTTCTCACCACCCTTAACTTACCTGCTGATTTCTGTGCCGTCCTGCAGGCGACCAAAACTGTCCCGAGTAGGAATGACTTTACCTTCCGCCATCTCCACGCTGATCAATCTCAAATCTGGGTCATCTATATCTCCTATGCGATAAAAGCCACGTACACAGACGAGTGGACATTTGGACATGAATTTAAAAATTCCATTCAAGCAAACAAATCATATTCGTATTTGGTTTAGTGTCAATTAAGACAGGTAGATAACACGATGACAAAAGTAAATAAAACGGACAATTTCCATGGAAAAGGATAGTCACATTTGAAATTCAAATACAAAATATATTTCAAAAATAAATAAAGAAATAAAAGAAAAAGAAAATAATTTTGGTATAAATCCTTGACAATTTGCAAGATAACAACATACCAAATATACATAATAATAAAGAATAATAAGAAATTGTGTCTCTTTCCAATATATAAACAGACCCTGGTATTTATCATCATTTGAAAATCATAAGAATATTCCTTTATTCATTCAATTATAAATTACTCTAATTAGATGACAACAAAATAGATATTGATTGAAAGACATAAGATTATTGGGTCCCGTAGCTTTTCCTAAGGTTCTGTAACTACTATTTATCATTATAACATTTACTTCTTTGTTACCTCGCTTCATATTTTCGGCGAAGCGATACTCATTTTGTTTAGTTATTTGTATATCCCATTTAAGATTTGTCTAAATGATGATGTTCAATGCTCGAGAAACAATCTCAAAAAATCATATGTTGATTCTACAACTGACTGCTTAAAAATGTGATATATGACATATTCAGAATAACTTCCTTCAAATAATAAGCACGGGAGTAAAGTTTCTTTTGTTTCACAATTGTCCACTTGAGGCAAAAACTTAGTTAAATTAGCCAAAAGATCAAAATTAATTAAGAACCTTCTTTGATTTCCCTTTGAAATGAATTTTAGAATGAAAAGGTATAGTTTTATACGTTTCAAAATTGATCTGATATTAGCGGTTGCATAAAACAAATGTCACGATACTATCTAATTTCATTTATTTTATTAATTTTCCTAAATTTTAAGGTACATTTTACTGTCATTCTGCTATACAAATACCATTAATAACTATTTTTAAATTCACTACACGATACTTGTATCTTTTGTAACAAATAAAGAGAGATAAAAATGAAGAAGAAACTTAACTTAGCAGACCTGGCCCCAGGATCATGAAACGTCTTAAGTCAAAATCTTTGTGTTGTACTAAAATGTTGTAAAAGTCAAGCAGACCAAAATTAAAATATTTTTCAATATTGCTTTACAAAAGTGTTTTACTGCAAAATTAGAGCTTAATTCAATAGTTACTAAACATTTTACTGGCGATTGAAAATTTGACTTAAGTCTAAGTCTGTTTCATGATCCTGGGGCCTGGAATTCTCCACAAATTTGATATACTTACTTTGATAGACTGAATACTTACCAAAAACCAAAACTTGATTGGTAACAATGTGAGAATAACAAAAAAGTACTCGAACTTTGCAAGGGGGTACTTTATTCGAGACAATTTCTCTCTCTTCGAAAAAAAAAATAGCATTGTACTTAATAAAATATTAAAGTTAAACAACTGTAATTCATATTATTTCAGAGTAAGTGTACATTTCAATAGTTTGGGGGACAATGAATATAAAAAGCCGATCCTGTTAGGTGTCTCATTTTAAAGTTAGTTTCTTTTCATTCTTAGCACAGGGAGCCTCAAATCAAATAATATCGAGGAAAATTAATCCTTTAAAGATATAAAATTTACGATTCATTAATTTTTTGTTGGCGTTATTTGGAAGCTAGAGTGATGCACGCATTAACGTAATACGACGAACAATAATTATCGACACAAAAAATTTCCCCTGAGAGGAAACTTTACACTATTTTCAATTGACTTGCATATAAAGTACCTAAATCAACCTTTAGACCGAAGTTTTTATGAATCATTTTCAGATACAACATTTATTTACAAGCCATTTTATACAACCATTGGAAAAAGTCAAAAGCCTTACAGAGTACTCGTATAATCGCTATGTACTGTATGATAAATATCATGAGTGTGTTCGATTTTTGTGTTTAACACTACTGACATCTGTAAATCATTTTTGAATGAATATCCCCTCCATAGCTTCACACAATTTTCAATCACAGTGTCACCATAGAAACATTATTTTTTTTTATCATTGTTCAAGAATTGCAAAAGGCAAATACATACTACATGTACAAGTATAGCTATGTTCTCTTACTTTTATTTTGCAAATTTCAAAAAAAAAAGAAAAAAGAAAGAAAGAAAGAAATATTTTGGGAAGCATTATTGCCTCTATAAATATTAGAATAGAAACATCAAATTATCGGGAAACGCCCTCGTTCTCCAAAGCATGTGCACGACGATGACAATGGAATGCTCGATTTTTTTTCAAGCTACATGTATTAGATTTTTTTCTCAATGAAAATGGACAATGAGGTTCAGTAGAAAAATTGCTACGTTGATACAAATAAGGATTACTGGGATAATTAATCCGCCTGAGTTACACAATTGATTTGTGAATTGTGAAGATAACGAAGTATAATCATGCTAAAAAGTCCAAGCCTTACAAAAATTTACTATAGAGAAATATAGTTAACTATAGTTTACTATAGTAAATACTTTGATACTTGATTTACTATGAACTTTACTACAGGACGTATTTTGGAGATTTTGAAGCTGAATATCTCTTAAATTCAATACCAATGATGTAAAATTTGGAAATAATATGTAAATATACAAGTAATTTTATCATCTAATATCAAATGTGTGCATGTATGAATTGGACAACATAAGATATAACAATCTGAAATTCATAGTAAGAAAACTTGGATTTTTGTATTTTAATTAACGACACAAATTAAAAGCAGGGAAAAACATCAGAAGTGGGATTAGGTGCTATGGAGAAGTAAGCATCCCCCGTCGACTGGTCACACCTGATTTGAGCCCTTTTTCCTGATCCCTGTAACATCAACTTATTTATCAGTATCCTAACTAAGTTTATAGAATAAATTGAATTAAATATAATCAAATTTAAATGCATTATATACGCATTTTTTAAGTATGTTTCTTTATGCTTGTGTGTAGATGCACATAATTAAAGCTTTCAGTCATATGATGTTGACCGTTTTCATTGGCATACTTGTCATGTGAAATTGTTTACAAGTCATTTCCATGTAAAACCTGAGCATTATTTTATTTTTGCGCTTGATTTTATCTGTTTTATTCTAGACTTTCAAAAAGAAATACAACGAATCGTTAGAGGCAAAATCGCTAAAATAACGCAGGATTATTCTAATCCTAGAAATAAAGAGAAACAGAGAAACTTCAGTGACAAAACAAACAACTGATACTTTAATTCCCATAAAGCGTCGAGTTCAGACAACTACTCACATCGTCTGAAGGGAGTTAATGGACTATGATACTAAAAACATAAAAATGGGCAATTACATCATAACACGGCCATCAACTGAAAAGTCAATGGCTTCTCTATACGATGGTCGCCCATACATGATTGGGATGTTAACTTTTATTTCAAATGAATTCAAAGTACAAAGAAAGAAAGAAAGAGATTCTCTCTCGCTCTCTTTCTCTCTCTCTCTCTCTCTCTCTCTCTCTCTCTCTCTCTCTCTCTCTGTGACGTGCCTTTCGTGTCTGAGTACAGGGAAGAGATTTTAAATCAAACAATCGCAGAGACGTGGAGCTTATTGTTTCGTCATGCTGACACGCATCACATCCGGGGATTTCATATATTTTTAAACGTCCACCAAAGTCAATGATGGCTGTCCCTTCCGTGAACTTGCCAGCTGAATTTCTTTTTTCCTTTCAATTTCTATACATAATTTTGATCCTTATGGTAAATGTTTCTTCAGATTTATCTAGGCAGTTGTTCTCTCGTTCTTCGTCGATTCGTCACTCTAATTTGTTTAATGTAATGACATGATGTTTGTCATATTAAGTCGAGACAATCACTATACGGTAAAACATTTCGAATGTGTCCCGATTGACCAATTTACTCAAGAAACCAGTGAACACTGCCTTAAACAATTACTTGGTTTCATGTATGGTGGACGTAGACATGTCTTGTCTGCTCATTATGATTAGGAATAATAAAATTATTATTGTTTCTGTCATAAATAATAGGGGTGTTTATTCCTACCAAATGAGAATTTGCCAGTAAGGCTCCAGCATAATATGTCTAGGAATATCTACGGCGATCTTTGTCATGCTTTTGCCAACAGAAGCAAAAATTTACGAGTATCAAATCAAAGGTTTCCTCTTAATCGAAAAAATTCAATCGTGTCTTCGAGGTTTTTTTAATTTTAAAGAAAATTGGATAAATGATGTCTGAATGCAGTGAATACCTGAATAAGACTCTGTTATTCTCAACCACCTGCTAAAAGTGCCAGGTAGATTGTTTTAGCAATGCGCAGTAAGTTGGAGTGGCAGCTCAGTGGATGAAAATAAAGCTTGTTTATTATTTCCTTTCTCCTCAGAATTACGTCTTTTATGAAACCTGTCAAGGATGCAACGTCAGCAATGTTGTTCGTGTTCTTTCTGTAAAGTTTCTTGCACAAAGCAAATGCTTTTCTTCGTTTTAATTGAAAACATCTATTTTATTATTTCTTCACCTCACCTGTTTGTAAACTTCTATCTATAGCTTCTTCAGAGAACACCTCCTCGGGGGAAACTCCTGCTCACTTTTGATGTATGTAGCTGTCAATCAAACTGAAGCACCACGTGCGTTATGTAAGGTGAAACATGATCGATCGATGATCCCCGTCCAAAGGCCCTTCATTGACCACGTGATGAACCCGCCTGGTGATAAAAACTTGTCGATATTAATTCCACACTTACTAACCAATGTCCGCTTGTCCTTACAATTAACGAATCTATAGATTTATTGTGCCCTGTGTCTTAACATTATATGAATATAATTTTTCTGGCTAAAACAAATGTTATGGTGTGTGCAAATGAAATGAGAAACATTAAGGTTCATTGACCCTCAGGTAAGAGAGTTAACTCTCACTTGGATAATTGGCTATAGGATATCCGTTCCTCA